ATATGTGGATATAAGTCTGTAAATTCCTCTTCAGACTCATGCAACCATGCAGTGACACCAAATGCAGACCAGTGGGTGGAAAGTCTTATGGATCCAGTGGTAGAAGCACCTCAGCACTGGTGTGGGTCTCCATGTGGCTCCTCCAGCTCTATGTGGCTTGTTACAGGAATATGAAGCAGCGAGAGGGTGTCTCCACCTCCAGGGAAGGCCATGCCCACACAGAAGCCTCATTGGCTATGGCCCTTCACAGGTTGACCGATTATATAACTGCCACAGAAAGTCGAGCTTTTTTCTGTTGGGGGGGGAGGGGTACCTCCTCGTAATTAAGGGGATAGGGCATAGGGTTAGAGCATAAGGACCACTTTTAGTTCTCTTAATTGACTGTTGATATCTTCTATTTTCTAATGATTTCCTTTTCTTGTTGATTTATTAAAGGTATTTTATATATTTATAGTGACTTTTGTTTGATATGTATGTGGCACTTATATTCTCAATTTGTCAGAGAGAGGCTGTATGTCTAATCTTTATAAAGAACTTTTTGATCCTTTCCTTATACCCTTTTAATTTTATTAAGTTCTGTTCTTTATTATTTTCTTCAGATTTATTATTATTTTTCTTACTTTTTAATTGAATTTTTTCTTCACTGATTTTCAACCATCTTTTCTTGATGTAGAACCATCCATCTAAGGTTAATTTGCTCTTGTGCCGTTGTTATTCGGGGCCATTGAGTCAGTTCCAACTCGCGCTGTGTGACCTGGATACATATCCAGTCCTGTGCCTTCATCACCGTCGTTTCTGTCTCTGAGCCCATTATCGCACCAACTGTGTCAGTTCGTATTGTTGAGGGTCTTTCTCGTTTTGCTCTTCTACTTTGCCAACCATGACGTCCTTCTCCAGGGTGTGGGCCTTCCTGAGAACAGATCCTAAGTATGTGAGATGCATTCTCACCATCCTCGCTTCTAATGGGCATTCTGACTGCCCTGTAAAATTCCCAACAGCAACACAAGAGAAGCCCCACTGCACAAACATTTTTTCACACTTCCTCTTGTGTCCTATAGCCTGTCGTTCCACTGACTGAAGCAAAATTCAAACCCAAGCCCAGAGTTGGTGTGAGAAGGAACATTTGAACATGCAGATGCAGGGAGGCATGAACAAACTGAGGATCATTGCCCTTCCATTTTCTGGGAGACGTTTCCAGTGGATTATTTAGGTCGTCAAACCCTCTCTAGGTTTGTGTGCTCTACGCCCATCTGTATTTCTTTCTGGACATTTTTTAATTTCCAAGATCTTTGTTATTTGTCCTATATTTTCTTGTTAAGAATGCAATAATATGAATTTATTTTCTTTCATAGATTTTATTTTTCTCTCTACAAACTCGGCATAGTATTCACTCTTCTAGTTTGTTTTGGCCCCTCTTTTAATGTATTGATTTTCCTGATTGCTTTCTTATCATTGGAGATTCCCTAGTTTCCTTTTCCCCCTAGTTATCTTTCGAGGCTTTATGCCGTAACACCAGCAGGAGAGGAGAAAGAGACCCACCTGCTGGGCTTAGTCTGGCAGCAGTGCCCCAGAGTCCGGTCCTGCTGTGTTTCTTCCTGGACAGTAGCTGCCACTCTGGGGGACTGTTCACACTCGCACAGAGATTTGGTTTCATCCATTTGTGTTTTCCATTACAGATGATCCTAACTGCTTTCTGTCTTTCTGGAATGTCTCAAAATGTCTGAGTCATCAGTGACACGTTCCCCTCCTGTTTCCAGCACTGACAGGGGTTTCTTCTTCTCTTTATGTGTCTTGTCTGCCCCTTCATGGGGTTTTCAGGGAGTACAAAGCTGAATATGCTCAGTCCATATATCAATTCACTTCACCTCTTTAATCCTTTTTTTCTTTTTCTGATTCATTTTTTCTTGTTAGGTTTAGCTCACACAAAGAGCAGTGCATAAATCAAATCGGTAATTATGAAGTGAACATCTAAGTAACTACCACGAAGTCAAGCATGCCAGGCGTCTCATTTATCTGGGCCCTACAGAGCCTGGTGGCACAGTGGTTAAGCACCCAACTACTAACTAAGAGGTTGATGGTTCAAACTCACCAGCCTCTCTGAAGGTGAACGATGTGACTCTGCTTCCATAAAGATTCATGACCTTGCGTGTCTGATAGAGTTGAAAACTGTTAGCAGTATCATCATTTCCTTTATTTAACGTGCTAATACTCTGTGAGCCAAGAAGTAGTTTAAAAATAGAAAAGCGAGCAACCAAATAATTTCTTGCTGGTTCCTTTTCCCGGGAATGGAAATTACTTCTAGAGAACTCAAAGGTTAGGAAAGGGGGAGCTATGATTATCAAACAGCGTTGATTACGAAGTTTGCTGTGAGTCAACTCTTAACAATTTGCTATCCCTACTTCAAATTGGATTTTCCATCCAGGAAAGTACAGAGTCATCAAAGGCATTATTTCTCCGGTCGGTGATGCGTATAAGAAGAAAGGACTCCTCCCTGCCCATCACCGGATTATCATGGCAGAGCTGGCCACCAAGAATTCTAAATGGGTGGAGGTTGATACGTGGGAAAGTCTCCAGAATGAGTGGATAGAGACTGCGAAAGTGCTGAGGTATTTATGGTGATGCCCACCTTGTCACTTCTGTGGAAATGGGTTGGGGCCACCGTGACTTTCTGTACCTGTGAACATACAACTAGTTGACATCAATTCGACTCTGACTCCCTCGGGCCCCGTGTGTGTCAGAGAGGAAGTGTGCGCCATAGAATCTTCAATGCAATGGTGGAATGTTTGGAAGGAGATCACCAGGACTTTCTTTCAAAGTTCCTGGAAGTGAATTCAAATAGCCCACCTTTCAGGTAGCAGCTCAGAGCGCTAATGGTTTGCACCTGCAGGGAGACTCCATTGTGAAATACCAGTTTGTAAAACTGTCACCAATCTTGGAAAGGCTGGTGGTGGTGGTTGTTAGGTGCTATCCACTCAGTCCGGACTCACAGCGACCTGATGCACCATGTGACAAAACACTGCCCAGCCCTGTTCCAGCCTCACAATTAGTCATTGTTTTAGCTACCGTGTCCATCCATCTTATCGAGGGCCTTCCTCTCACCCAAGCAGGATGGCCTTCTCCAGGGACTGGTCCCTCCTGACAGCATGTCCCAAGTAAATGAGATACAGTCTCACCATCCTTGCCTCTAAGGCGCACTCTGGCCGGACTCCTTTGTTCGTTCTTTTGGGAGTCCATGGTACTTTCAATATTCTCCACGAGCCTCATAATTCAAATGCACTGGTTTTTCTGCAGTCTTCCTTATTCAGTGTCCAACAGATGAGGCAGTTGGAAATACCTTGGCTTGGTCAAGTGCACCTTAGTCTTCTGTGTCTCATCTTTGCTCTCCAACACCGTGAAAAGGCTTGTGCCGCATGTTGACCCAAGCGCAGTGCGGCATTTCGTCCCCTGACTGCTGCTTCCACAAGCATCGATGGTGAATCTAAGTAAAATAAAATCCTTGACAGCGTCAACCTTTTGGAGAGGCTTAGTCTGGCCTCTCCGGTGTGCGGTCAGTGGCTCTAGAGCGTGCTCCTTCGAGGGGAGCAGAGCGGGGGTATTCCTCAGCCTTTCTGGCTTCCTTTTGGTGAGAGACGTTGGCGTGTTTGCTGCTCTGTGATGTCTCTGGTGAGAACAGAAGAAGTTGACCTGCCTTGTCCATCTGAGCCCCAGCTGATGTTGGATGTTGTCATCAATTGTCTTGGGCATAAAAGAAAAATTCAAGGGACTCAAAGGAGAAAAGCCATGATCTTTGATCATGGACAAGCCTCCTGTGACTGCTCCCACGACAGCCCGTGGGGTGAATCACAAACTCTCTGCTCATAGGTTTGAAGCACTTCCCAAAGGACGGGTTCCGAAACCAGAGCAAATAACATCGAATAACGACCGAGTAGTAGCGCGGGTGTAAAAAGAAAAGAGCTTTCTAAAAAGACATTTCTAATCTTGGTCCTTACAGTTTTGAGGTCTGCTTACTAACTAAGTTGGCCAGGGTTCAGAGCAGGAAATAGAAATCATTCTGTATTTAAAGAAGGGGATTTAGGTGCTCATACAAAATTCCTAGACACGCGGGAGGAGTGGAAGTGGGGGCTGCCCTGGCATTTTGTCACAAGCTCATATAGGAGTTCAGGACAGCCGCTGTGACACCCGCAAGCTCCTAACCACAGCGCTGGACTGTGGACTGTGCAGTCTGGCGCCCATGCTTCTGCTCTGTATATCGGGCTCCACAGCCACAGGAAGACGGCCTTCCACCTCTTTCCCGAGTGGATCTCATAAGGAGAATGGCAGTCACACCTGGAACTGCAAGGACCCCTGACTCAGTGTGGTCAGTGTGGTATCAGACACTGTCAGTAGACAGCTTCGACTGTAAGTCGATAAGTAAACGACTTATCAAGGGGACTGACTGCAATCTTGGCACAGTCTCCCCTGGCCACTGGCCCAACACTCTCCCATCAGAGACCAGCCTCATGGGTCCCAGCCGACCCCAGCCCTCTGGCTCCATGGGAACCTGATGTCCATTATATAGTCAGCTCAGCCATTCCAACGGGAAGGGATTTGGGGGCATAAAGAACCCACAGTTGGATCCCACAAGTGTAGCTTATTCCTTGAGTAACTTTGCACAGTTGTAAAGCCAGGGGTCTCCTGCTGCCATTCCAGAATCAAGCCCCACTTCTGTTTCCCCACCCAGGACCTTATCCTTGGCATCGGGCCCTTTTATACGGCCTTTCTCTTCCTTAGCAGAGCACACTCCGCACGGCTCTAGAACCAGACCTCCACAGCTATCAAGGTGATCCTGACTCACAGCAACCCTGCAGGACAGAGTAGACCTGCCGGCGGTGACCTTTATGGAAGCAGACTTTCAACAGCATACTTTCATGAACCATGCTATATGGGTTCAAATCGGGGCTCTGTGGTCTGGGCAAATTAGTCTGTTTTGTTCTCTAGATCGGCATGACAAAGCAATTCTCACATATTAATGGCAATAATACAGTCATACCTACACACTCATCGACTACTGGTTTCCCCGCTCTCCAAAAGTAGAACCTTCCCATGAAAGCTTTCCAAAGAAGAAATGGTGTAAGGCAGGGTTTCCCAAAGTGGGCAATACCGCCCTCAGGGAGGTGCTAGAATGATCCAGGAGGCCTGCAGAAACAGATACCTGCCCTTTATCCTGGATTATGAACAAAAGTGTTTAGTTGCTAGGAGGATGCTGAGTAATTTCCTTTCTTCAAAGGGGGTGGGAGGCCAAATAATTTTGGAAATCTGTTGTACAAAGCAAAGATACAATTACTGTTCGTGTACATAGGGAGAGTTTTTCAGCATCTCCAGACTGAAAAATAACTGCCCACATCACCTCAAATCACTCCAGCAGGCCACTGAAGCAATTCCAACTCAAAGCAACCCTGGACTGGGTTTCTGAGGCTCTAAATCTTTTTCTCTTTTTTTAATACTTTTATTACGGGCTCTTACATCTCTTATCACAATCCATACATTCATTCAGTGTGTCAAGCACATTGAATAATGGATTTTTTTCTTTCTTTTTTAAATCTCTTTTTTCTTCAATCATTTTGTTAGGGCTTGTACAACTCTTACCACAATCCATCCATCCATCCATTGTCTAGCACATTTGTACATTTGTTGCCATCATCATTCTCAAAATATTTTCTTTTTACTTGAGCCCTTGGTATCAGCTCCTCATTTTTCCCCTCCCTCCCCCATCCTCCCTTCCTAAGGAACTCTTGATAATCTATAAATTATTATTATTTTGTCATGTCTTCCACTTTCCAACGTCTCCCTTACCCACTTTTCTGTTGTCCATTCCCCAGGGAGGGGGTTATATGTAGGTCCTTGTGATCAGTTCCCCCTTCCTACCCCACCTTCTCTCCACCCCCCTGATATCGCCACTCTCACCTCTGGTCCTGTGGGGTTCATCTGTCCTGGATTCCCTGTGTTTTCATTTCCTATCTGTACCAGTGTACAT